CAGAGCTTTTTACAATACCCAGGAACTATTTAGAGAATCGAATTACCAGAGAAAGGAGATCAGATAAAGGGATGGATGCACATACGGCAACTCATTAAGACAGAGTCACACCAACACACACATGTACATCAGAATTACCGAAAATCTAAAGGTATCGAGTTTTGGCTTTTGTTTGTGTCTTTATTTCCTTCTTTTCCTTGGCCACAATTGGTGATGCTCAAAGATTACTCCTAGCTCTGAACTCAGGAATTACTCCTGTCAGTGCTCAGAGGACCATATGCAATGCCAGGGATCAAACTTGGGTTGGCAGTGTGCAAGGAGAATGCCCTACCCACTGTACTGTGACCCTGGTCCCCCAAAATCTAAAGTTCTGACCACACTCAATGCTAAAATAGATATGAAATAGATATGGAACAAAAGAAACTCTCACTGATAAAGGGAATGAAAATGGCACAAGTGTAGAAGACAGCTGGCAACTTCTGACAAAATCAAACATTTTTTACCATATATTCTAGCAATTGCACTTATTTGTATTTTATTTTTTATAAAAAAACATATGTGTACATAAAAACTTGCACACAAATGTGTACAATAGCTTAACTCAGAAGAATGAAAAATTGTAAGCAATCAAGTTATGCTTGTAATCAAGTTATCAAGCAGGGAATGGGCAGACTGGTAAACTCAAACAATGAAATATTACTTACTGCTACATAGTTGTGGTAAGACAAAGCTTAGATACAGATAATTCAATCAAAGAAGGCGATCTGAATGGAATATGTATGATTCCAAATGTATGAAAATCTGGGAAAGGTAAAACTATAGAGATAATGAACAATTGTGTAGTAATCTGGGGAAAAGATTAATAACAAAACTGGTAAAATGGATGATTAAATTTTCTCTGGGATGAAATGGTAGTTGTGTGTGTCACTACACACATCTGCATTAGCCAAGTATATACTGAGTTAACCCTACTGTACACAATGAACTTTGGACAATAATGACACCCCAATGTAAGTTATTATCAACCTCTGCGATATGGGACAGTGATAATGGGTCAATTATATGGGTCAGAGGGACAGGCTGTGCATTTGATCAGGCAGAGGTTATATGAGAATTCTTGTTCAATTTTATTGTGAATAACTGCTTCATTTTTAAAAATAGAAGCCTAATACATATTGTACAAACAATCAGAATGAAATTTAAACAGGATCGCTGCATGTGAGTAACCCTCAAGCCTACTTAGCCCTTAGCCAATTAACCAACATGCCAGACACTTTCAAATTGCACAGCCTTCAAGCATTCACTCGGTCAGACAAACCCTGTAGCTGTCCTGCGGCCACAGAGATCCTAAGAACGTAAAGATGATCCTTTTTCTAAGGGCAAGAGATGCTCAAAATTTCATGCGAGCAACATGACCACATCAAAATCACCCACATGGGCCATAACCTCATAGTCACAGGCAATGGTTTAGCAGAGGGTGGAGGAATGTGCCCAGTGCACTAGTAAACAGATGATGGGGGAGGATGAGGTTTGTTTATGGCTAGGAAGAAGCTGCTGGAGCACTGTCCTTGAAGCTCTAAGGCAGAGGCAAGGCTGAAGTATTGCTGACACCCAAAGATGTCTACTTCCCATGTCCCAAGCCATCAGTTGCCATCAATAACAAGGTCTATTAATCTATGTTATTCTCTAAAAATGTAGGGTTTCCCCAGCAACAGCCAAGTGCGCAGAGAAGACAGGACCTGGGGTGTGACCACGGGTCCTGTAACTTCTAGTGGTCAAGGGGCTGTACCAGGATGAACTCCAACAGAACCCTTCCTTCCCACTCAATTATTTTAATTAACTAAATTAGCAGTCAACAAAATAGTGAAAATGTTACACTTGAGTAACTGGTGGTGTGTGGTTTCTTTACTATGTTTAAATACACTTCAAAGCACTGGGATGTCCTTTTGACATCTCAGTCACAAACTGGCTCTTAACACTTTGGCAGGGTGCCTGGCTGTGAGTCAATCAGGAGAATGAGGTCACGTACTAAAGGATTACTGTGTTTTAGGGTCAATAAAAAGGAGAGGACAAAACTTAGCATATTCCGATGGAAAGGGAGGAAGCTAGGAAGAAATTAGAGCCAACCAAGCAGGACAGCAACTGGATTATACAACCCGTAGGAAGAATACAGTTGCCAACCTGGAACAGGTTACTTTGTATAAACTTGATGAGGTTACTTTGTGTAAACTTAGAAGAGATGAACTAATACCAACTGGGGGGTCTATTCCACAAGCAGTGCTTCTGAAACGTTTTCAGGTGTGATCTCTTTCTTGCCCAGGAAATTTTTATATGACCCTGAGTATAGAGGGCCTGTAAAGTAAGTATACATATTAAACTGTAGCACTGTAGCAAGTCCCCCCCAGTTGTTCATCATTTGCTTGAGCGGGCACCAGTAACTTTGTTGTTACTATTTTTGGCATATCAAATACACCAGGAGGAGTTTGCCAGGCTCTGCCATGCAGGCCGGATACTCTCAGTAGCTTGCCCAGCTCTTCGAGATACTGATAATAAACCATAAAGAAATTTATTTTTAAAAAATCCCCACATTTTGTTACAAGACTACATCCTACAGTTAAGGAAGCTAGATACTAGTGTACATAACAATTCCCATTCAACTGGTGGCCTCTCTTTTTAATTAAAAGCAGTCTGGTTTAAATACTTTAAACCTTTAGTTATGCCACACTAGATACTTGGAGGTGTCCAGTTGTCTAGGAGGAAAATACATGATAAAGGAAATATGTTATACCATCTCTGCTATCAAAACAGAAAAAAAGGAACATTTGAAAACAGACTAGGAGCCAGAGAGATAGACAAGATGCTTGTTTCGCAAGTGGCCAACCACAGTTTGAGTCTCGCAACAGTAAATAATTTTTTAAGCATCACCAGGAGTGATTCCTGAGCACAGAGCCAGGGGTAAGCCTTATGAACAGTGCAATTTGGCCCACCAATCCTAAAAGAAATCAGAATAGTAATTTTCATTTAAGATGCAGTCATCTTTAAAAAAAAATGCAATCATCTTTAATTACAAAACCAAAAGAATTTAGCCTAAAGGTACCTTCCCAGAGAGTGATACAGTTGAGACACAAAACCTTGCCATCATCATTAAAATAAATTTAAAAAAAAAACAAATAAACAACCCTCCTGTCTTAGAGGTATCGAGGCAGAGAATTAGGATTCCCTACCACTTCCCCCCACTTCTTTAGTCCCAGATACCTACCTTCTCCATTGAGATTGTTACTTCAATAACAATGTTTAATGAAGTCATACAATAATTTGCAATTAGGATAAATCCCTGGAAATTTTTCCCAGGATTTGGATAACAATCATGTTGGAAAACCTCTGAACTGATCACAGGATCCTGAAAACAGTATCAGAACCAAGTACATAAAGATCTTGGCTAGGCTGCTGTAGTTTATACTAAAAGTGCTGGCACAAGGAAATGAAACTCCATTTGCTATTTTCCAAAGGTGTCCTGTTTTTTCCAGCACTTTGAATGAACAGAAATTTACAGTGATCTTCTTCAAATTTCTCACAACTAAATATTTGCTCTCACACTAATGAAAAAAAATCAATAAGCAAACACAAACTCACTGAAACTGCTATTATTTGTTACCACAAATTTTATGTTCATTTAAAACACTACAAAGAAGAAACAAGTGTATCTGCCAGCCATAAAGTCTTTTTAAAAACCACAAGATGACCTGAGTGGTTTTCAAATGTTTCTTCAACATATTTAGGATATCCCTAATAATCATATGCCATTGTTCACCTGTCAAACTGAGCAATAGACACTCAAATCTGAATGATTTTGTGAAAAGCCAAAGCAAAATAATCAGATAATATATTTCCTATTCCTAATCATTTTTTAAAAAACATACTCTCAACTGGCTCAGCTCATTTTGCTTTGTTATAATAATAAATATATAACAGAAAAATCAAGTTACAACTAAGGAAAGGGGCTATAACTACACATGGAGGTGCTCAGGGATCACTTCTGGCAGGCATCAGGGGATCCTATGTGGCACCAGGGATTGAACCTGGGGTTGGTTGTGGGCAAGTACCCTGTCCATTTTACTATCACTCTGTCCCTCTGTTAAATTTCTAAAAAATATTTTTTTTAAAAGAGAAAGCAAACCAACAAGGCGGTTCCTTTAAATATTTGTGAAAGTCAGTAATTAACAAAATGCTATTTACTGATTTGCCTAATAAGAATATAGAAAGCAGAACTCAACATCCTCAATAACTTCAATCAAAACACACACACACTCACATCACAACCTTGAACTACTTCTCCTTTTCTATTTTCATTTACACTGTGAACCAATGTTAATAGTCCACACTCCTTTTTCCTGGTATTATCGCACTGAAACAGGATTGGACAATCCCAGAGAAAACTTAAGAGCAGACACATCTCCCACTCTGTTTAAGCCCCGTAATGTCCACAAGATGAACTGCACAAACCGGCCACCAAACAGGAGAGAGCAAAAGTTAAGAAAACAGGTAGGGATAAGAGTATGACTCAAATGGGTGTAGCACAAGCCTGGCACCACACCCCACTCCCTCAGCACCTCTGGGTGACTTCCACAGCTTGACTCAGCACTTCAGGCACAAGCACTGAAATTTCAGGTTCACATCTGATAACTAATGAATTTTCCGTGTGCCTACATTTAAAACGTTACGGGCCACTGTGAGTATGTGGGTCGGTGCATTCCAAAATCATGTGAGGTTTGGACACAGCGCCATCGGAGTCCCTGCAGATTCTACTGACGATATAAGCATAAATCCGTGCTTGGCCAAGGCAACTTAAGGAAACGTTTGTGTACTGAGTAAAACTGGCCGGAAAAAGTGCTGTCCCCAAACTTCTCAACTCCGGGCAGCCAGGACGGGAGGAGGACCTCGGGAGCCAGCAAGGACCTCGCGCCGCTCTCCGGGTCCCGCCGAGCCCCCAACACACTTACTCCCAGCAGCGGCCCGCGGCCGATCACCGTCTCCCCCGGCGCCAGGGCGAGCCGGGGGCCGCCGTCCCGCGGCTGCAACTCGAAGCCCCCCGACATGGCAGCAAGGATTGGGCCCCTTCACCAGGACAAGGTCCGGGCAGCCGTTTCCACTCTCCACCGGCACGCGCAGGCCCTACGCAGGCCCCTGAAATACACGGGCGGACCCGGGGGAGCACTGACTGCTCGGGCTACTCCCGTCCTGGCGGAGCAGGGGCCACTGCCGAGCGGTTGGGTGGGGGTCCAGGTCCCGAGCCCCGCCTCTCCACCCTGGCCAATGACGCAACCAGGGATTCCCCCTTTACGCCGTCTCAAAAAGTATTTGTAAAAGCCCAGGTTTAATTTCGCTACCTCATTTCCCCCCCCGACCCTCCTCGCCCTTCTCACCGCCCACCCGGTCTGGTGGACGCCGGACCTTGTAGTCCTCCGTTCCCTACTTAGCGTCGCTTATAGACGCGAAAAACTACCAATCCCAGAGGACAGTGCGCGCTCCTGTCTTGTCTGCGCCTGCGCACGATTGCGTAGGCACGACGCAGCTGGAGGAGGCGGGGTTTTAGCAAAGAGGGGCGGATTCGAAATTCACAGGATTTATACTAGGGACTGACCCAGTGACAGCTTAGGGACCGATGTCTGGAAGCTTCTGGCCGCGGCGGCGGGTGCGCTTGGCGACCCGCACAGCCTGACCGACCCCCTCTCCCCCGCCTCCCGCCGTCTTTACTCCGTGGTGGGTAGCCGCGATGACTGTCTGTGCTGATAGTTGTTACTGATCTCTCGGCAATGCATCTTGTTTTGCATCGACATCTTATTCCTTGGACTCGGACTGCAGCAAACGTGTGAGAGATGCTTTCAAGGAGGGTCGTTCGAATAGCACTTGAGGCTATTCTTTCCCATCTGTGAGGTTTGGACGCGGCTGGGTGCTCCTTGAGCACCGGGTGGGTGCGACTGGGGGCTCCTGAGCACCGGGTGGCGCGCGCCCCTCGGTCAGCGCTAACCCAACTGGACAGGTAATTCAACAAAGTTATGTGAACAAATAAAAATGAGCACAGAAGTGTTGTCTTCTAGGCTGTCAGGCAGTACTGCACTTAGAAGAAAGTTAAGATTTCAAGAACTTCAGCAAGGACTTCTACTCTGAGTCCATCTCCCGCTTACCGTTCAAAATCCGAAGGTCCAGATCTGCCCTAAGCGGAATAACTCTGGGAAGAGTTTTGATTTGGTGTAGTTTTATTGATTTTTTTTTGTTGTTGTTGTTTTAATTCGGCGCAGTTCCCAAGCAAGATTTGAGCAACCTGGAGACCGATAGTGGGGGCGGGAGCAAAGTGTTACCAGCGCTACATCCTTTGTAGCTGAGAGTGCTCAAACTCTAGACCACGCATGCTCCAGACCTTGGAGCTACTTCTCAATTTCACCCCACCCAAAGCGCAGTTATTGTTTTTATTTTTTTAAGGTAATATGGATTATAGTAGAGTCAATTTTTATTCTATAGGCTTAAAATGTTACTGTACCACACCTGCCACCTTGCGTAAGTCCCTTTATATCTGACCCCTTCTTTCCCACCAGGGCTCACTCTATCCGCCCATCCTGCTCAGTAATCTCAGTTCTGTTGTCAAGAGATTGTTTCTATTGAATATTGTCTATTCCATTGCTTTGGTCTTTATATACCCCAATATGAGCAAGATCCTCTGGTATTTGTCTTTTGCCTTCTGACATAGTTTGCTTAACATGACACCCGTTAGTTCTATCCACGTTGTAGCAAAATGCAAGATTATATCTTTTCTTATAGTTGAGAGTATTCTATTGTGTATTTATACCACAACTTCTTTATCTACCTATCTGTTTGGGGGCTGCAAAGCTCTGCATCTAGAACCTTGTAACTAGAGCTGCAGTGAGCAAAGGTATACATAAATCTTTACAAGTAAGTGTTTTGTGTACCTGGGATATATATATGTATATATCCCAAATATATATAAAACACATATATCTCATATATATCATATATCATATACATAGGAGTGATTAAGATGTGGAATTGTTGGATCATTTTCAATTTTTGAAGGGGTGTGGACCATTGGACCTTGAACCTTGGACCATTACCCTATGGATCTCAGGATTTACTTCTGTGCTCCTTGCTTTGTACAAAATATCATTCCTGACAATGCTGGGAATCCAAATGGGGTTAGCCACACACAAGGCTAGTGTATTACATACTGCCACCTCCTCCCCTTCCCTACACTATGTCTCCTGCCCCGATTTTCAATTTTTTTAAAGAAGTGGGCAGAAGTATTTCATTCCAGAATGAAAAATAGCAAACATTAGATGTATAAAATGTTCTCCTAGGATGACATTCTTTTCAATCATATGACCATTTGGCTTGTATTGATAAGTAGAAAGGCAGAGATAGTGGCAGACTTGCTCTTGGTTCACCATGTAATATTGCTTTGAGGGGCAGGAGAGATTGTACAGCGGTTAAAGTGATTCCTGAGAACCACTGATTGTAATCCCAACCTTCCTTCCTAATATATTGTTTTTACCAGGATTTTTTTTCTCACTTTTATAAGCCCTCAAGGAAAAGTTAAATACAGGAATTGAATTCTAAGTATCAGAGCTCATATGGATCAGAAATAAGCAAATGAATGGGAGAAGCATACAGATTCAGAAACACAGGTGAGTGTCACAGCTAAAAAGAAAAGTAAATTCTTTAGCTGAGCTCAAAGAAGTGTTTTTCTACATCTCAACCTTCCACTCAATTATAAAAGGGAGTTAAAGCCCCATTCAAAATTTTAGAATTCCTGGAGTACGTGGCCATGAATCAAACTCTACACCACTGATATACCAGGAGTAGCACACCACATTTGTTGGGATGTAAAGTAGAAAGCAACCAATCTCAATTAAGAAAATATTAATACACAAGGCTTAACCTGTAACAGCATGTTAGTAATCTCTTCTATGAGGGCTTGATGGCTCCAGGGTGAGATACAACAATCTTCACATACTTTCTTCTAGGGAAATCTCTTTGAACATTTTTACCAAATTATTCATTACAAGCAATATAAAATAAATTATCTAGGGCCTGCTATTGGATCGGTCCTGGGTAGTTGTTGGGAAAATTGGAAATAATAGTGGTGAGAAGGTGTAATGGTGATGGGATTGGTGTTGGAATAGTGAATGTAATAAAACATTGTGAACAACTTTATAATATTTTTTAAAAATGTAATAAACTGACTTTTAGATCAATGTGATCTGTCTTTGTATGCAAAAATAGATCCTAACTTTTTAGTGATTTCAGAAGCCTACACTATGTACTTGAAACTGGACTTGAATGCATAAGTCACATACTGTACTAAATTATAAAATTGTTTATAGTATTAGTCCAGACTGTTCTCTTTAATTTTCAATTAGCTATGCATATAGGTTAGCTTTTGGAAGTCATGTCTAATGTACTAATCTTATAGTTAATTGAATATTTGAAACTGTGTCATTGTAACCCTACCTCAGCTTCTTGTCTATTTTAAATATTTGTAACAAATGTGAGCACCTACGATTTAAGGTACAAGTAAATAAACAAGTCTTACATACACTAATACTACTAAAAGGACATTATTATGATTATGGTTAAATTAATAAAATTAAATATGAAAAAATTAAAAGGAAATCATATGGTTGAATGACAAGTCTTCAGTACCCACAGATAAGTATTCGGGAGTTTTACAGAATCAAATTTATTTCAAAAGTTTTCTTAATAAATATTTGGAATCAAGTATGTCCTCACTATAGTCATTTCTGCTACTAAATTTAAAGAATAGTCTTATGTGGAGTCCCTTTTTCTCTAAGAAAATGTTTTCTGAAAACAGATAAAAAGCTTAGCAACAAATTTGTTTACTAAAATTATATTTTAAAAGAATGGAAGTTACTTATGTAGAGTGACATTCATGTACAATTGAGGGAGGAGTGTAGATGGCACATGTTACCCCTGTTAGTACTTGTAAGAGCACACAGGATGCTTCTTTGGTCTCATTTTAGCTCATGTCATAACAGTTAAAATTCTTTAAATCATAGTCAGAATGTATCTGGCTCCGAGTAGGATTTATAGCCTGATCTGAAAAGACTGAATCTGTTTAAATCTTGCCTTTTAGGATACTTATGAAGATAACTTACAACTATGCAGAACAACTCCAACAGTAATAGTAATTTAAAAGTTTCGGACATAGACCCAAACCCTAAGGATGCTGAGGACAAAAAAGAAAGTACATATAACTTTGTTGAAGTGCTACCTCCAGAACTTACTTGTAAAATTTTCAGTCTTCTGGACATTCAGAGTTTCTGCAGAGCTTCACAGACATGTCACAGGTGGAATGATATCATAAGAAACACTGATTTCTTATGGAAACCCCATTGCTTAATATGGGTGGCTCAAGAAGATAGAGATAAAAAGAGACAAAATGGTTATTCCTGGAGGGTAAGTTTAATCTTACTGTGCAGTAGATTGAACCAACTCTTATCTTCTGCTTGTAGGAGATAGGTATTGAATATAGGACGACCATGTTTTAGCCTTTGAATATGAATTCAAGGTGAATTACTATTCTTTGCCTAGAAATCACTGTCTTCCATCCATTCTTCTACAAATTTTAAATTCTAAATTTTAAGTTATTTTCCTCCATCAACCAGAAGAAATATGACTACTTCATTTTACTCTGCCTTATCGAAAAATACCTCACACTCTGTGGTTCACTATATGTGCACATACACATTTATTAGCATATGTGTATGTCAATGTAAATACTTAGCCTTTTTTCTTGAGGATGAAAGTGAGGTCTCCAAGCAGTACTTGGGAAGTCTAGGAACCCCTCCTGGCGATTCTTAGTCAGCCCCACTGTGGTTCAGCATTAGAGCCTGAGGATTACCTGACCACCCTGGCATTGCTCAGAGGCCTATAGGGACACACCTGATGTTGCTCAGGGCACTATTTGAACAAGAGTTGGCCATACAAAAGGCATGGCTTTAACCCCTGGACTATCTCACTGTCTCCAGTACTTCATTTTTAAAACCCTGTCAGTCAACTTCTCTAATTTCAAGTAAGCTTACCAACCAGCCACCTATAACACTCTTGAATAATGATGTTTTACTACTTCTTTCAGGACATACTACTGACGAATGAAGAGAGCAAAGTGAAGATTGGATGGCTAATTGGCAGATACAGTAACTATACTCCTGATAGCCAATTAGAAAATATCATGTGTCCAGTGGATGCAGACACATGGGGGAAATTTTTTGAAGCAGAATGTCAAAGACAATAGAAAAAAATCACAAACAAATTTTGTGATTTCCAGAATTTAAAACCAAAAGGACTCTCAGTTACAACAGTTCATTTTTTAAATCACCTTTTTAATCTTTAATATTTTAAAGAAATATTTTAAGGAAAACTTGAGAAGTATTATCAAAGCTGAGCTTTGTTTATATTTTGCACTTTGAAAAAAGTATTTTTCTAATTTTGTTGTACTGTGAAAAATCATGAAATGTGATTTATATAGTATAATATGTGACAGGGTGATATAAAAATGTATTATTTTAATATATTTGTATACTTTAGCACTTTAGTAATATCTGATATTTAAGGGAGTTTAGCATTTAATGCTTAATGATAATTCAAAAATTCAGGGTACCATTTGCAAAAACTGATTTACAGATTCGTTAAGGAGACTTAACTAGGAATTTGGGAAAACTACCATTAAAAGAAATATGTTTAAATCTAAAATAAATTTATATTTTAGTACTTAAACCTTCCATTTCAATTGAATCAGATTGAACTGTCAAATATTGGAATTATTTTAAGATATTATGCTTTTAATTTAGTGTAAAACTAATCTCACCAGAGTTGTAAAACTTACAAGAGTGAGATTCCCTTTACTTGCCAACACATCTAGATGTGTCCTTAGGGACTAAAAATATATAGGAAATTCCTAGACCGCTACTATCAGAACTGCCACTTTATTTTTCTTTATATACATTTTGGACCAGATAATGCTGTTTTTCAGCTAAATTTTCTTTCTGACAGCATTATAGCACCATCTAGTGTGGAGTACCATTAAAACCCAGGAGGCAGCCTTTTGTGCTTCCCACTTTTAAAAGAAAGAAAAATATTGTTAGGGATCCCTCATATTTAGAGATCCCTAAATATCGACTTTGTGTCGGTTTATACCTTTCAAGCTCACTGGAACCTTTTTTAGCTTTTGTACTTATTTATCTTTTGTATGTATTCGATATGCCAAAAATAGTAACAACAAGTCTCAATGGAGACATTACTGGTGCTCGCCTGAGCAAATTGATAAATAACAGAAGGACAGTGCAATGCAGTGCTACTTATTCTTAAAAGCCAATGATATAGTACTTACTATATCAGATTGTTCATTCTGGTCAACACCAGGGTAAAAAGTATCCCAATTATCTTAATCAATATGGGTAATTTCCTATTGAGGAAAATATCAAAATATGGGCCCTACCCTACACATATTCTCTTTTTTTTTAATCAAGCAGGAATTGATTGTCTCCAGTGTCCTTACAGTAGAAGGGGCTTGAATTTCAGGTAGTACAGCTCATCAGACTGTTTAGCAGTCCCCTTCATAGGAATGTGCTTCATTGCGTGTCATCAATCCTCTTTGGCACACTTTTGTAAAACCCATAATCTTAACCTGGAAGCTATACCCAATCATTCTGATAAGGGTTTAAAATGTTCCCATAGTTTTGTATGTACTACTCTCATAGTTGTCATGTCACATTTAATTTTATATTTGTCTCCCTTTTTAGACTGTGAGCTTCTACATGGCAGGGACCATGTATTTATTTATGTTTCTCCCATCTAAATATAGTAGATGTTTCTTAAATATTTTTTAAGTTATTGTGTTTTATTTGTTTTAATTCTACCAGGAATGTATGTTAAAAATATTTTACTGTATGATCAGTGGACAAGATTATGTTGAATTCAATGCACTATCTATAAGATATATGGAATGCTTTATATTAAAGCTATGGATAATTCTAATGCTCTTCTCAAAAGTTATAAAACAAACAAATACTGTCCTCCCATTGTTCATCGATTTGCTCAAGCAGACCCAGGAACGTCTCCATTTTGAGACTTGTTGCTACTGTGTTCAGCATATCAAATACCTCACGCGTAGCTTGCCAGGCTTTTCCCTGCAGGCGAGATATTCTCGGTAGCTTACCAGGCTCTCCGAGAGGGGCGGAGGAATCGAACCCGGCTCGGCCAGACTGAAAATAGAAATATTTTGTTTTAAAAATTTTTTGCTTTTTGAGACAGTGGACTCTGACACTCTGGTGGTGAGTGTGACACTGGGACATTGAATGTCTGAACCTTTATTATTAACTGTGTTTTAAGCCTAAATAAAATTAAAATACTTGTTGTGGTTATTGTTTAATTTGCTTCCCTACCCAAACTACTACAACCAGATTTTAAAATGTGCCTATCAAAGTGACAGATGGGGAGGGTGGAAGGGAACTTAGAGACACAGGTGGAGGGAAGTTGCCACTAGTGGTAGGATTGGTGCTAGCACATTCTACTTTCCTACATTACCTGTGTAGCTGAGGTCCCCTGCCCCCTGCTCCTCTTTACTTCCCTTCTTCATCTTTTCCCCTCAATTTCTTTACTTCTCTGTCCTTCTTATCCCTGTTCTCTAAAAAAAAATTTTTGAATAAACATTTGAAAATTAGCTTAACTGAAAAGTATCACTTATTTTTAATTATTGGGTCATCCCTGTCAGAATTTTTTTTATTTTGTCTGATTTATAATTCTGTCAATGACAGCATTTTATTCATATGATGATCCAACACCACACCCTCCACCAGTGTCTGATTCCCTCCACCATTGTTCCAGGGTCCTCTCCCACACACTCTTGCCTAAACTCAGTTCTGTAAACCAGTTGTTAGTTTCTGTTGCCTTGCGCCATTTGTTTTTCCCTTACTATTTTTTTTCATATCCTACATATGGGAGAGATAATTCTGTATCTGTCCTTCTCCTTCTGGCCAGTCAATCTTATTATTCAAGTTATATGAAGAATCCTTAAGGGGGAAAAAAAGAATCCTTTTTTCAGTTCTATTGCATTTTTAAGTCAAATTATAAGTTATAAATTATAATCATAGTTTACACTGAAAGGAAAGTTTTGGACCTTAAAGATAAACTTCACGCATTTAGAATGAACCAAACATTTATCAGTCCAAACCATGAATATTTGAGAACATGAATGGGTGGAGTAAACTGCAAGGAAGTAGTGCTCTCACCCATAGATAAAATACATATGAAGTGTACACAACTTGTAAAGGAGGAAAGATTATTAAACTAGAGTTTTAAGAAATTTCTAATTATTTAATCAGTTTATCTGGATTGTTTGTTTGTTTGGGGACCGTACCCAGCAGTGCTAACTCCTGGTTTTGTATTCAGGGATCACTCCTGGAGGTCATATTGGGTGCTAGGTATCAAATCCAGGTTGATGTGTGCAAAACATGTGTCCTACCTGCTGTACTATCTCTCCAGTGCCAAGATTTGGATTTAAAAAAAATAACTCAGCTTCTTTCTTTTATTTACTTCCTTTAGTGAATCATTATGAGATATACAGTTTCAAAGTTTCTCATGACTGGATTTCAGTCATAACTTCCAATACCCAGCCTTCAGCAACCTTTTTTTTTTTACTGAATCACTTTGAAATATGATACAAAGATATTATGTTTGAGTTTCAGTTATACAATGATCAAACACCCATCCCTTCACCAGTCCATATTTTCCACCAAAAATATCTCCAGTATCCCCCACCCTTATTCCAATCCTCCCTCTGCCTCTATGGCAGACAATTTCCCTCTTCTCTCTCTACTGTTGGGCATTATGGTTCAGCAACCTTTATTTTGTTGCTCTTATATATAGCACAATTTTAGAATAAAAAATATTAATAAAATATAAGTGAATATAAACGTTAGACCTTGGAATACTCATGTGTATGTAAATGTAATTTGAAAAAATATATTTTATGTTTAATCACCTTAATTTTAACTCTATTTTGATATGTAATCTCTTTCTAAATTTTAGTCACTCTAATAATACTAACAAAAATATGACAAGTAATAACATCAGGAAACAGAATGAGAAAATAGACAGAAGATCACATGTTTTTACTTAAGGTGGAGATGAAAGGCCAAAGTTTTAAAATGTATAAAGTTTGAGAAATAATAAGTAAAATTGACCAATTATAACGCCAAACAGTGCTTACTCTGAACCAAACATTGTACTTAAAGGGACTGGGGTTTTGCTATCTCCATATGGTCGAGATGCTTTCTCATAGACAAGAAAACTGACCCTTTTCTTTTTTTAAATTTTTTATTATTAAATCACCGTGAGATAGAGTTACAAGCTTTCATGTTTGAGTTTCAATCATGCAATGATCAAACACCCACCCCTCCACCAGTGCACGTTCTCCACTACCAATCTCCCCAGTACAACCCCCCCTTTCCAACCCTCCCCCTGCCTCCATGGCAGACAATTTCCCCCATTCTCCCTCTACTTTTGGGCATTCTGGTCTGCAATACAGATACTGAGGAGTTATCATGTTTGGTTCTTTATCTACTTTCAGCACACATCTCCCATCCCAAACAATTCTTCCAACCATCATTGACTTAGTGATCCATTCTTTCTTCCAACTTCCTTCTCCCCCAGCTCATGAGGCCGACCTCCAACTATGGGGCAAAATTCCTGGCCCTTATGTCTACTGTCCTTGGGTGTCCATCTATATTATGTTGTTTTATATTCCACAAATGAATGCAGTCCTTCTATGTCTGTTCCTCTCTTTCTGACTCATTTCACTTAGCATGAGACTCTCCATGTCCATCCATTTATAAGCAAATTTCATTACTTCATCTCTCCTAACAGCTTTAGTATTCCATTGTGTAGATGTACCAAAGTTTCTTTAACCAGTCATCTGTTCTCGGGAACTCAGGGTGTTTCCAGATTCTGGCTATTGTGAACAGTGCTGCAATGAATATATAGGTACAGATGTCACTTCTACTGTGCTATTTTGCACCCTTGGGATATATTCCCAGAAGTGGTATGGTGGGGTCATCTGGAAGCTCAATTTCTAGTTTTTGAAGCACTGTCCATATTGTTTTCCAGAAAAGCTGAACCAGTCTGTATTCCCACCAATAGAGAAAGAGTGTCCCTTTTTGCCCACATCCATGCCAGTACCGGTTGATTTTGTTCTTTTGAATGTGTGCCAATCTTTGTGGTGTGAGATGATTGTTG